CAGCGTAAAGTTTGATAGGGTTTTTGACTTGATCTGGCAAATCGTTAATGAAAATCAACAACAGCAGTGGTCCCAAAACTAACCAATTTGAGATAGTGTCGCCGAGTATCACTTTCTGTTTTTTGTTAGTTAAAAAGTTTTCTATCCATATTAGATAACTCCTCACGATATCATATGGTTGAAGTTCCTCATTCCTCGTATGACCTGTTTTAAAAATCGGGGTTTTATTTGCTGATATCCACAGTTCAGGTAAGTGTTTCTCAGTCAACGATTTTATATATATTAAAGTTGATGCTTCACAGAGAGTAATATGACATTTACTTCAGGCTCAACGGAGCAATTCAAATAACGCATATTAGATTTTGTGATATAGCTTATGATTGAGATACGCTCTGGTACATCGGTAAAATCAAATCTAAGGTATTGCCTTCTGACAGTGTGTCTTTTGTTGTACGAATATTGGTGGAGTTTAACTTTTCATATCTAAGATTTGATTCAAGAAACTTAAGAACTGAACGCAATTTGTAACTTTATTTTGAAAATCTCAGTAACTAAACAATGCAGGGTTTTTTGATGTATAGTTTATGTACCGCTGTAAGTGAGTTTCAAATGGAATCAGTCTCTGTAGATAATTCTTAAAGCTAATGGTTAGTTGATATTTGCTAATGATTAGGTTTTTTAGGGTTTCATTCCATTATTTTTGAACCATTATTTTCGGCTTTTTAGAGATTGGTTGTTACCGAAGTAACCTCTTCTCTTGTGCAGTATGTAGTATTATTATCTCCAAATTCAGCAGTTTCAACTTCAGAAAGGGAAAAAAATAAATCACATATAAAAATGTTAAAACAAAGGTCCAAGAATCAAACCTTGCGAAACTCCATATAGCATATCTGTGTAACAGCTAAATTCACCATTTATTCTTACTCTTTGTTTTCTTTTCATTAGGTAAGAAAATATAAACATTATACTGTTTGGGCTAAAACCATAGGAATCTAGTTTGGCGATTAGTAACGCATGGGATATGTAATCAAAGGTTTTAGAGAGATCAGTTAGTAAAGCGCCAAAGCATACGTTGTGATCTAAGGCTATCTGACTATAGCTCTGATGTTGAAAAGGAGATAAGTATTGATAGTATAACTTATAATTTAAAAAGTATTAAATCTGAATTGAATTTAGTTTCTTAACCCAAAATTATTATTATGCAATCAGACATTAAAATGAAACTTAACCATGAGAAAAATGGAACAAATCTTGTTAAAAAAGAAATAGTTGTTTTTGAAACTAGCAAAGCTAGGCCCAAATATTAAGATTTACTTTTTAAAGCTCTTCAAAAAATTTCTCCTACATCAATAAAAGCTGAGTGAGCATTTTTTAGTCTTGGAATGTTCGCAACTAAAATAAGAAATTCTTTAAATGATGAAACTTCATTGAAATAATGAAAAATCATCATTTATATTACTTGCTTTTGTTCTTATGATAAACAAATAAATATTTTTACGCATACTTTATATTACTTTTATGTGTTTAAACATAAATAAAATAAAGTTCAAAATAGTTTGAACATTTTTAAGTAATAGTTTGAACCTGTACAGGTTTGACCTTTTAAAAAAAAATTAAAAAAATTTAAAAAGACATAAATAGAATAGCCGTGGGGAAAACTATCTAAGCCATGCATTCTGAGAATAGCGATTCTTTCCATGTTTATCTTTGCTGGAATCATTATTGGCTAATGGTCTGAACGAGTTTGTCAGTGGACGATGCTTGAAATCATTAAAAAGATTTATCAACCCACGTCAAATTTATTTATACACAGCCAAAGTCATTTAGTGTCAATGTTCAGCTATTCGCTGCTAAATATAGAGATGTGAATAAATGAATGGTTTGATCTGCATTGACAGTGACAGCTAATTTGAATTCCTGTCACTGTAATGCCACAAGATGGTAATGCCACTACTAATAACACTAGTACCTTTTTTTTTCCTTTAACGGTATCTATCGTACATTTTATCTACCGACCGTCACTGTTTTCATCAGATGACTTTTTTTCTGATTTAGTGTGTGCGTAGTAATCTTTACTGGCACTACCCATAAAACACAGCCTACAATATAACATGACCAGATTAGTGCTGTTGTATGTTGTAAAAATAAGCAAAAAATCAAATAATGTTCTAGTTTCAGCATCACACGCTATACAAAGTTGTCTATAGTTGTCCTAATATCTAATATCAATCCTCTAGACCTAATAATACCTAATATCAATCCTCCTTTTGAAATTGTTAGATTAAGTTTTTCAACCAACCTGGTAGGGTTCTCACTGAAAACTTAACCATATTTATCAATCATTTAAAGAAAACTTCTTAAAAAGAGGTAAATGTATAACATTAAACAACTCCAAAAATTCATATACCTATAATTATTATTAACCAAAACATCTTATAAAAGTCATTTCTAATTCAATCAAGCTCAGCAAAATATGATTGTAGTATAATCTTATTTTAATAGTTTGAGTTATGAGTTTATGGAAGGTTTTTTATTTTTGAACATTTTTATTGCCGTGAAATAAATATTACAACCTATATAAATTTACCATTAAAATTAATGACAGGAGCAAGAAAAAGACAATATTTTTGTTTTATCGTCGAGAACCGTGTTACAACTTATATTTTTTACAAAATTTATTCTAAGGTATAAACTAATAAACTAAGATGTTTACAAAAATATTAACAATAAAATATGATCATCTCATTTAATAGGTAATACCATAAATAAATTAATACAAATTAATACAAATTAATAAAAATTAGATAAAACAAAAAACAAACATACAAACAAAAAAAAAAAATAAAGAATGAACAAAAAAGTTAAAAAAAAATGCGATTAGTGATAATAATTATTGTCAGTAATTACTTAACTCTGTTTTTGAATTTACGGGGTAATTAAATTTAAGGTTAAATTAAATTAATTACAATGTTTTTAATTTGAATTGAGTATTTTAGATTTTACTGAATCAATCTATTTTAAAAGAAAAATAGATCAATTAAGTAAAATCTGTGTAAAATTAACACCGCTTTGATTCAATTTTAAACTGATTAAGAGAAATATTTTTCTCGTCAACAACATTTGGAAAGCTTTTCTACAAAAATAGCCAGCAATTCTGAATTGAATAAGAACTTAGTTTTGAAAAGATTTTGGTACAACAAGTTGTATTTGGTATATCTTGTAGCATACTTATGGTGTATTTCTTTTAAATAAGTTTTAAAGATTTTGTGGAACAGTCCATATTTTGCACTATATCTTTACTTAACATTGAACTCAGGGCCGTCCCAAAGAGGGGTGTCGGGGGTGTCCCACCCCCCAAAGATGTTATATAAGCATTTGAGTTGGCACATTGAGCAAGTTTTGCTCAATGTGCTAACTGAAATGCTTTTTGAGTTGACATTTTGCCAACTATACTTATACTAAAATTATAGTTGGCAAATTTAAATATAAATATAGTTTGCTATATTTATAGCTGGCAAATTGCAAGTATTGAGGACCTTCTTTTATTATTATTTTTTATTTGTGTCCTTAGTTGGCAAAAAAATACTTACACCCCCCCCCCCGCCTCCATGGAAGGCCTCTTCGGGACGGCCCTGACTGAACTATATATATTACGTATCCATTATTAGGCTATTACAACCAATATTTTGTTTTGTTTTGTTTACAATGTTAGTCGTGATACAATAAAATAAATTATTAAAAGACTTTTACAAATATATATATATATATATATATATATATATATATATATATATATATATATATATATATATATATATATATATACATATATATATATATATATATATATATATATATATATATATATATATATATATATATATATATATATAATATACTATATATATATATATATATATATATATATATATATATATATATATATATATATATATATATATATATATATATATATATATATATATATAAGGCGTGCTAACCATGTAATCTAGATTTACCGATAGAACATCGCAAGTATCATTGAAACCTTGAAAAATCAGAAAAATAAAGAAACGTATTTACTAGTACTTGGTAAAGTATAAGTATAACTTGGTAAAGTATAAGTAGCAATAGAGTATATATATATATATATATATATATATATATATATATATATATATATATATATATATATATATATATATATATATATATATATAACCGTAAACAATATAAACTAGTAAAAAGAGTGTAATCAATATAACTACATAACTACAGAGAAAAGTAATAATCCAAAAATAAAATTATAATAGTAGATGAAATGATTAGTAATTAATCAATAAAGATTTGAAGCAAGATTGATCAATCTTGTATATTTACGGAGGCAAAAAGTTCGCTAACGTCACTTAGACGCGAATAAGTTAGTATCACATGTGAACACGCACCAAAGTATTTCAGTTTTTCGAGTAAGCTATGATGGTCAACCTTATCGAAGCTCTTCAATAGGTAGATAAAAATACTTAAAGTATTTTTTAGTTTCGTTCTAGGATTTTCGAATATATGGAAAGCACAAATATGGGGCGTTAACTAGTTATTTGGAATAGGTCAGCCTCTTTATTAATAGGTATAACTTAAGCAATTTTCAATTACTCATGGAAATTTCCTTGTTCAATTAAAGCACTAAAAACTTTGAAAAGAACATTAGGGATAAGCGATCAATAGATAGTTCCAACTATAAATTTTTTGATTTATAAAATGTACAATTGAACATAGTCTATTAAATTAGTATATAAATATTAAAGTGGTGTTTCAAAATATCAAATTATCTTATAACTAAGCTATGGTACAACACATCATAGCTATGGCGTAACCAACGCAACAAATCGTAGTTGTGACGTATCTACTTAAAAAGTTCTTTGAAAAGTAATGTTAATACTTTGCGTGAAAAAGTCATAACTCATTTGCTGAAGTCATTTCTGCTTAAGCATTTGTTTTTACTGTTTAACTATTCTGTTTAAGTTTTTATATTTATTTTAGCAAATACAAAGAAGAGAACTGTTACCAACTGATTCGAGTATTACAGTCAAACAACACGGTCAGATAACTACGCCATTATTTGATGTAAATAATGAAATCTGAGGTTAACTATTGTACTAGCCTCACACTTCAGGTAACTTTAAAAGGTCATCAGTTATGGAGGAATCGTCATGCGTTGAACCCGGAGTCTTAGTACGCTGTCTTTGTGATCCAGGCGTTCGATTTTTAGGAGACATTCCATATAAATTGAATGCTATTGGACTTGGCGAATAACTTGCTTGCAAAGATTTATCTGTCCCAACACGAACACCTGCTTTAAGTAACTTTTGAGCAGCGGGAGATAACTTTTCAAGTCGCTCAGAAGTTAGCATTCCTTGTCTCGGGCTGTTCTTTGGTGAGCTACAAATATATTAGATAATAAAAAAAACGTTCGACAATACCAAAAATAAACAACTTTTTATATATATGTAAAAATAAAAAAACTTGAAAATAAAGGATTCAAGTATTTAAAAAAGAGCAAATATATGAAATCACATTCAAGATTTAAAAAAAATGTTAATCATTAGATAAACAAAACAACAATAATAAATGCATTCATTTATTAATTCGTAAATGTCAAAAAACTAAATAAATAACGTTTTTTCTTATACCGTGCGGAGAAATTTATTGCTTCATTAATTTTATTCATTTAACTTTAGAAAATGCCTATCTAATAATTAATTATTTTCCCCCTTATTTTGCTATTTTTAAATTTTTTTTTTTTACCAAAATAATTTCTAATAAAACAATTTCTTCGTTTATCCTGTAACTTTTAGAAAAAAAAAAAAAAAGTAAAATTTAGAAATATGAAAACTGTACCATTTTTAATTTCGAGTTTTTAGTTAAAGTATTCTTTACTTAAAAAACATTTTGACATTCACTCTCACTCGTTCCAGTAAATTGAGATTAGAGAAAGTAAGACAGAAACCGTTAAAAATGAATTAAAAATGGCATCTTTTTTTATTGGCCTTTTTTTTTCTTCTTAAAAGATGAATAAAAGGTTTTAGAGCATGCAGAGACAGATACAGTAAACAAATGAAACTTTGCTAAATGACGAGTCAAGCGAGAATGAGTTTTAGTTGATGGAACTAGAAACGATAGCTCTTTTGAGCAGTGACTATGACAGTATTTGTAGAAAAGAGATGCGACGTTATGAAAATAAGAAAGAAGCTCAAGCTTAGCAAAAAAACGGGTCCAACTACATTTAGAAAGCGTTTTTGTACCTCGCCTAGAAGAGAAGGAGCATCATTAGAAGAGAAAGAGCATCATTAGAAGAGAAGGAGCATCATTAGAAGAACCAGCCCTAAGATGACAACATTTTCCATACAGGATGAATAAGAGATTTGTAGAGGTAGAATTGGAATCAGGAGTAAGAAAATGGCGAGCACAATAAAGAGTAGCAACTTTAGCAATCGATTTAGGAATCGATTGGATATATGGTTGCCATGAAAAGTCAGTGTCAAACAATAATCCAAGAAGACCTAAAGAAGAGGACTCAGTGAGAGGGTTGCCATTCATCAATATAAAAATGTCAGACCCTATAGTTTGCTTTTACCTAGGACCATACGTGTGTTTCTCTGGTAAAGAATTTGTTTGATTATATATATATATATATATATATATATATATATATATATATATATATATATATATATATATATATATATATATATATATATATATATATATATATATATATATATATATATATATATATATATATAATGTATATATATAATATATATATATATATATATATATATATATATTATATATATATATTATATATATATATTATATATATATATATATAGTATATATATATATATATATATATATATATATATATATATATATATATAGATATATATATATATATATATACACACATAAACAAATATATAATCGCTATTATTATTATTATTATTAATATTATTATTATTAGTTTATGCTGTGACTGGCATTGCTACCAGTGAGTGAGGTGATTTTAAATGCACACTATGACAGCTGAGTCTTGTGATGGTTTGACTCCCATCGATCTTGCTTTAAATGAATTTACTGAATTAGCAATAAAAACATTTTCTGGCAATGCATTCCAGTAATTAGCAGCCTGATTTAGTAAAATATTTTCTTTATAATTATGTACAGAAAATTCTTAAGAATACTTTAGGTTATGGTCACGAGTACATTTAGATTTGAAAGACTTATTTTCTTTAAATTCAAATTTATCGTAACCTTTTATAAAGAAAAGTTTATGCAGTTGAATTATGTCACCAAGTTATCTTCTTTTAACTAGTGAGGGCATTCTAAGACAAGCTAGTCGTTCTTCATAGCATAATTTATTGATTGAAGGTATTAATTTAGTGGCATGACGCTGTATTCTTTCTAAAATGGCAATATTTTGTTTTTGATAAAGAGTTCATACTGGTATAGCAAATTCTAGAAGTGGTGGAACAAAAGAAAGATATAGAGATTTTAGCAGTTCTGCATCAAATTGAATAAAAGATTTCTTTATTATTCGGTTTGCTTTGCTTGCACTCAATAAGACTTGATTTTTCACTTCAAGTTATCTGAAAAAATCACTCCTAGGTCCCTTTCTGAATCTGATATGTTGAGTTGACAACCATTTATATAAATTGGGTATCTTATTTTTATAGCCATAATGCATAATTAAACATTTGTCAATATTAAAGTTAAGCAACCAATCTTGTGTTCAAACATACGCAGAGTTCAAATCACATTGTAGTTTAGCAAGTAACTCATCAGAAGAACTGATCAACATGATTTTTGTGTCATCAGCATATAGTTTTGAAATATTTTTTAGAGACTAATGAAGATCATTTATATAAAGTATAAAAAGTAGTGGACCCAATATGAATCCTTGAGGAATCTCCACTATACAGCCCAAGTTGAAACATAATCTCCCATAATAACTCTCTGCCTTCTATTAGATAAGAAAGCTTGAAACCAATGAAGTGCTAAGCCACGAACACCTTAAGCTTCAAGTTTTAAGATAAACCTTCGATGTGGTACAGTATCAAATTCTTTTTTAAAGTCAAGTCAAACTACATCCACAGGAATTCCTTGATCAACATTTCTTGTAATATAATCCAGAGTTTCAAGTAAATTTGTAGTATATGACCTTTTTTATTAAATCTATGCTTGTTGATTTCGAGAAGATATTTTTCAAACTTATTTTTAATTATGCCTTGTAGTATTTTAAAAGTAACACATGGAAGTGATATAGGTCTATAATTTCCAGAATTAGTCTGGTCATCTTTTTTACATAGTACAGTTATATTTGCTGAATTAAATTGATTTGGAAGTTGTCTTTTTTCCTATTGACTCCATAAAAATTAGCGTTAGAGGAAGAGCGAAAGCAGTAACACAGTTTTTAAGATAGATGGATGTAACTTGTCGACTCTGTAGGCTTTGCTTTGATCAAGATTATTTAGCCTTTCAAGAACATCTGCATATTGGATATCTTCAGGAGTTAAATAAAAGGTGGTACCATTGATTCTTGAATAAAGGAGAGCACTTTGTTTTAAAGGAGTACACGTTTTACATGTTTGATTGTCGCAGAGCTTTTATATAGTCTTTTAAATATTGTTGCAAATCTATATACGTTGTTAAAACAATAAAATATCGCGTTTCGTTGGCCCAACATCGGCTGCCAACATTGCTTTTATATCATTATGGTTACAAATGCGATGTTGCCAACAACTAAAAACCAATGTTGATAAGACCTTTATTTAAAGTCGGAAAATGGTTATATTTTCTAAGTTGATTTAAGGTTTTATTTTATACATTGGCCTAATGTTGTATTTTATAGTTTGCGCAGCGTTGTATTTTACGTTATTTCATTGCTGTATTTTAAGTTGGCAAAACGTTGTATTCAATATTATTCGGAATTAAATTTATTCGGAATTAAATTTATTCGGCATTCAATATTATTCGGAATTAAATTTTTATTAAATTCTATTTTCTTATATATATATATATATATATATATATATATATATATATATATATATATATTATATATATATATATATATATATATATATATATATATATATATATATATATATTATATATATATATATATATATATATATATATATATATATATATATATATATATATATATATATAGGTATTGTGGTTTATCCTCCTCTAGCTAATTGCCATACGGAGGCCACATTACCAAGGACCGCAAAGACAAGTTCAGCTAATAAATAGCGCTGATACCAACTCTACGGACCAAGAGTAAAGTGAGTTTAGGAAGAACGAAGAATGTTAGAGTAAAAGACAGAAGAAGTCGTGTTAGAAAGATAGCATACAGAAAGCGAACAGGATTGCACACGATGTCAGAAGGTGCAATATGTTACTATACACATAATTGGCTCAAGCTAATTAATGTATGATATATATATATATATATATATATATATATGTATATATTATATATATATATATATATATATATATATATATATATATATATATATATATATATATATATATATATATATATATATATATATATATATATATATATATATATATATTCATTCTTTGTTCAAACAACATTATTAATTCCAAACATTTATTAAAGTAGAAAGGCATCTAGAAAAAATAAAGCGGATATTCAAATATTATTAAAAATTTCAGGAACTTTCACATATTACTTAAACAACGTTATAAAAAAGTACTTTATAAAAAGTATAGCATTATGAAAGACGTTACGTAAAAACGCCCATTTCTTTTAAAATCAACCAATGAAAAATTTTTATTGGTTAATTTTAAAATTAACGCGCGTTTTTACGGTCCATTAGTAACATTTTTCATAATGCTAAACTTTTAATACGATATGTTTTCATAAACTTGTTTGTCACGATTTTATAAGTTACTTTAGTTTTAA